GTAGACAAAACTTGTCTAAATTATTCAATGAGACATATCTTAATGAAAATAGGCTGCCAAAATATACGCCATATATATATATATATATATATATATATATATATATATATATATATATATATAATAGTTTATTCGAAAATTATAACATTTTTATGTTATAAAATCACTACAAAAATAGGCATTTTGTTTCAACACTTCTGTTGTCTTATCAAGTGATGGTCTTGAATGTAGAATCTTTCTACATTCAACACCATTACTTGATAAGACACCAGAAGTGTTAAAACAAAATGCCTATTTTTGTAGTGGAAAAAAAATTATAACATTTTTATGTTATAAAATTAACATAAAAATGTTATAATTTTTTTTCCATGTCGACAATTCAAGATAATACAAGACAAATTGGTATAAAATGACGTTTCATACTAATTTGTCTTGTCCACAGAATTGATCTGTGAATTTAACAGTATATTCGACATAAAAAATCTCTTAGTATAAAGGAAATTTACATTAACCAGAAAAAGGCTTAGACAGAAGCGTCTATTTTTTGAAATTTGGATTTTTTAATGTAACTATAACAACAAAGACATTTCGATTTCATTTTTGCCTTGAAAAAGTCGGAAGACGAAACGCGTCGGCAAAATCTAAGATTTTTTTTCTAATTGGCATTTTATACAGAGAGAGAGAGAGAGATGGGGAGAGAGAGAGAGAGAGATGGGGAGAGAGAGAGAGAGAGATGGGGAGAGAGAGAGATGGGGAGAGAGAGAGATGGGGAGAGAGAGATGGGGAGAGAGAGAGAGAGAGATGGGGAGAGAGAGAGAGAGTAAGAGGGTGGGGAGGAAAAATGCAGAAGAATGAGTTAATGAATACATTTCTATTTCAATGACAATTTTTATTTGAAAATGTGCATATATTAAAATAGTCCAATTAGCTACGTGACATATCTCTGTAGGCCACATGACAAACCCAAGACAGACGTAACATGCCATTAAGCCTCGTCGGACGGGTAAGTCAAGGCACAGAAAATCGAACAGAGTGGGGGTGTTGTGACGCAAGAGGAAGTCAGTCTAGAGACACGCGTGCCCGTGAGTCCCGACGCTAGTAAACTATTCCCAGCAGCCCGTACAGATTCTGCTGGGACTATATTTGCTCTGTTCTCTACTGTGGACGCCGTGCTGCCTGCCATTTTCAATGTGTACACTGTATTCTGTCCCCATCTGCAACTTGGTCTACGAGTCTAGGAATGTATTCATTGCCAACATCGAAGCGCTGTTGTATCGTCATATAACACATGCGCAGAAATTCCCCGATAGCACATGCGCAGAAATTCCCCGATTGCACATGCGCAGAAATTCTCCGAAGCTTACCTCAAAGCTGTTAAAGGCAAACCACCCAGTCTGTCTAATTGAACAAAAAGAGAATGTGGTTATCTCTGCGGCATCACAGCTGCACGTATCTAACTCCCACCTTATCGCTGCATCCGTCACCATCTAAAGCTCAGGCAAATACACGGACCGTAGCCAGGCCTAAATCGGCAACGTTCTGTAATAAAAACGTGTCGACAAAAAATATCACGAGTTTTGAATCTCTCAAGATTTTATTCAACTGCTTACTGTCAGTAAGTTTGTGTGGGCGCGCGGCCCAGAAACCCTCATCCGAATGTGGACCTTACATTCTCGTATGCGATGTCTTAGACACTGCCTCTTTTACCGCTGGTATGGCTGTTTACATGTCTATATCTTACATCTTACAGTTCTTTCTCAAGCGTGCATTCAAGAAGCAGGTGGGCTAATAACGTAGCTCTGCACACGGCGGCTAGGAGGGTACCTTCACTTGGGTCACTTGATACTCTGGTGTGGCACTGAGCAAAAATTTATTCTGGCACGATCTGTGGTGAGACACACAGTATACTTCATCAGAGTGGTGCAAATTTATTTTACGTAAAATCAGGTTTCGTATCTCTAGGCATATATTTTTGTTTACAATATTGTTTACTGTATTTTCTATGCTTCTCAGCGGAATTAAGTTCCCTTGATCAAAAGCAGAAGGGAAGTAATGTTTTTCTTTAAAAAAGGAAAGTAATTGCAGTTGGTGGAGGACGGCAAGTGCGACCCTGAAATCCGAAGGCGCATTGGAATAGAAAAAGATGCCTACCAGAAGCAAAGCAAAATATTAAGAAACAGAAAAACATCGTTAGAAACAAACAAAAGATGAGGACAATATTCCGAATAATGTAAATAGTTTACATAATACCTCATCTCAGAAATATAGACAGATAATGAAGGGTCGAAACGTTGTAATGCTCTGTTCAACTGTCGAACTCTCTGCCTTGAGCAGAGAGGAACCCGGACGAGACTTTGCCGAACGGCAAAGTTTCGTCCGGGGAGGTAGATAGATCCTGAACCCGCTTATACGGGTTCTAATATTTTGGGCCGAGCCTACGGGCTTGGAGAACCTACCGTAAATTCTGCCTTGTGCTACATACATCCCTTGTGGGGGGAAG